GTGAATTACTTTTAGGGTTTAAGGTTCAGTTAAACAGAATGTTTATTACAGTTAAATAAAATAAACTACATTATGAAAAATTATTTAAATGTTAACTGAAATAAAATATACAAAGGCAACACGTCTCATTTGGTCTAACTTGGTTCTAAAAATAACAAATTGATATACAAATTAATAAATTAAACTGATATTAAAAAACTAATAAAAATGACAAAAATAAAAAAGCTAAAATGGAGAATAGAAAAAATAAAAATTCAAAATATTAATAAAAACAACACTAGTATCTCAACGACACAAAATGAACACTGGTTCGTTCAAGTTGGTGTTGTATTGTGGACCTAAACTAATTGCATGGAAGATTCTTAATTTAATAAAGTTCATTAAACAAACTATTTTTTTAGTGCATGGAAAGTAGAGAATCAGCATTCGTTACCTTGTTACTATTTAATCCGAGCTTTCGACTAAAAAAATATATCGTTACATATTTAAAAATACTACCGTTTCATTAATTTCTATAAAATATCACTGACTGTAACAAAAACAATTGTGAACATAGTTTGTTTCCTTTTTTTTATCAAATAGAATGTTTCTGAATAATAAGCAGTGCTCGGTTCCCAACATTAGTTTGCATCAAAGGGGTTGCAGCATATTCACATCAGCCCCTGAATCCATGTCCACTTTCATTTTCCTCTGAACAGTGCAGGCAAACAGCGGCGGATGTTTGAACTTCTGAAGCAGCTTATGCCCGGGCTTACGCGTAATCAAACCTCTGAGAAACCCAGAGCCTCTTTAAACATGGAAGTGGTCAGGGGAGAGAAGAAATGACACAATGCCCCAGCGGAGGGTGATGGACGAGGCAGATACTTGATATGTGAAGCAGGCGGATGCTGATGCTTTTCAGGACATCAAGACACAAACCAGGCATGCAGCTAAGACTTTGTTGCAGCTACAAATAGAGCCATCATGTTGAAGGAACAAGAATGCGGAAATTTGCAGTTCAGTGAACACTTCGTTCATTAGGACATCAGTAATCTTTGCCTGGCAATAATGACAAGCGGAGCCGATTCTGTAGGGGAGCGATGACTCATTAATCAACTCCTCATCAGATGTTCAGCTAAATGTTTGCAAACTCATAGCCGCTGATCAGATGTGATATTCTGTCAGATCTTCGGCCAGTCATGCAGGAGGTCCAGGTGCTTTTCACATCGCAAACAGGCTTGTTTGAGAGACGAAGAAGTGAAATGGGAGTAGAGAAAACAAAAGAGCGATTGCGCCTGCACAACCTCCTGCTAAGAGTAAAGGATGACAGACAATGAAAGACACTTTACAGCGGATGAGCTCTGATAAAACATCTAGAGCGAGTTTCATTTTTTCAAAGCCAACATGTCAAAATTGCCAAACGACGATATTCAAGTCGGGAAGCAGAACAGGAGGGAGTGAAAGCAAACCGTCCAAAACCGACTCGAGAAAAACAGTACCGCTCCAAAACTTTTCAAATGATCGAAGGATGAGTAATTTTCCTTTCTAAAATTAGAGAAAAGAATCATATGCTGACAAAAGCAACATATGCTATGAGTCATTGCTTTACCAAAGCTAAAGATGGAAGGAGAGAAAAAAAGAAAACCTAATTTCCACCATTCCTTGTTCCTCATCCTTCGCTCTACTGACAGACTTGAGTCATTCTCTCATCCTCTTCTTTCTTTAAATGGATTGAAGATGCTACTATAGCTGTGCCGATACAATCACATCAATATTTTGATTTGATACCATACTCCACTGACAAAAGAGAAAGGGGTAGTTCAACAAAAATATTATACATACCATACATAACATACAGTGTTGGGGGTAACGCATTACAAGTAACGCGAGTTACGTAATCAGATTACTTTTTCAAATAAGTAACGCAAGTTACTTTTTTTTCCAATTTATTGATTGACAGCTCTCCTGTCCCCATGTTGAGAGAAATCAGAAGATGTTACTGTAGGTTCTAAAATAAATATGAATAACGTAACTTTACTTTCAGGCCTTCAACCTGAGGCTTATTCATTTCACTTTTGGTGTGAAAAGGC